CTAGAGTACCAAATTTTCTAGCCTTTAGTCCTAAAGCCAGACCACATGACCTTGGCTATACCCTATGAATAAAGTCAAAAATACTGTTACCCTCCTGCATCTGGAATAAATTTCATATCTAATGCAAGGCAGACACTTCAAAAACCATAAAGACATTTTCTTTCTCTCTACAAGCAATTTATCAGCATTCTTCCCAGGGAATTAATAGTCTGCAGGGGGTTTCAAATGCCTTTGAATGGTCATGCTTCTTTTGCACTGAGCTGTTCTGCCCTGGGTTAGAGAACTACTCTGACAACCTGCTCTCCCGACAGCAGCTGTCTGGATTTTTGGATGGCCCCAAGTCTCACACAGCCTCACAAATTTCCAAATTACCTTAATTAATGAAGTGTCATGGGAGGAGCCCTTGGAAAGCCAGCTATAAGTCTCTAATAGAGAATGTAAACATCATCATTCTCATGCTACCGGTTGTTCTTTCTTCTTGCCGTAGCATCAGCAAAATTTCCTATGTGCGAACCCTTCAGCTTACAGACCAGCCTGCTGGATCTGTCTTGCCTTAATTCCATCAGGCTGGGGGACTCTTTCACCAAGAAAAACTTGTTTTCCTAGCAAAATGAGTGAAAAACAGAATCCAGAGTAGATGGTGTAAGGGCAATCGTGACAAGAAGTGTATTTTCTTTTGATTTTGTGAACTGAGGTCTCAAGTCTGTAGCTGGAACTGAGTATCTTACTTTTGTCTTTGGAGAATGGAAGATCTTTGAAGGAGATAGGAATAGTTACTCAAAGACAAAAATTATTAGACAAAAGGTATCCTGGGTCAGTTAAACACACACCTACCTTCCACCGACCACATTGGTTAGATATAAACTGACCTTAACGATAGTTTGGACTCCCAGTGAAAAGTAAATGTTTCACTTACAGACACAATAACTTAAGTGTCAGCAACGTGTAGCCAAATTCCATTCTTATGGTTTGACTCAGCTGCCTCAAAACCCAGGTGTTTATCCTTGTCTCTGAAGTATGATCTTTAAGAGACTTGGGACAGACCAGAAATCTGTTTGATCAGCTAGATTGAAGTATTTTTCTCCATCTTCCCAGTTTTAGGAAAGGCTTTTGAAGAGAGTGAGTACTGCCTAGACTGGTCCTCCTACTATTGTGTTATCTACCATCAGTGTCCAAAGGCAAGAGACCCTTCATTACTGCAGCTGGCTCCGTCTCCCTGAAAATACACATATTTTATTTCATTAGCATTAATTTCTCTCTGCTTAATGCCAGTTCTCAGATGGATCAGAGCTCCACAGAGAGTGGGCCTGTAAAGGCTTATATTATACAGTAGGTTTGTGCATGGAAGTGAATAGCCCAAAGATTTGAGGGCTGTTTCAATTATCAAAAGTGATTTTACTGATTCTCTTGCTTGGTTTAGATATCATTGCTCCCTGCCTTTACTGGCTTTATGAGTTAGATAAAATCCATTCTATGACAGTGTCAGCAGCTGGAACATAGGAGGTGATGGTTGTACCACCATATCCTCTTGTGCCCTTGTGAGTTCAGGCAGTGAAAAGTGAAAAGTCCTTTCTTCTCAGGGGAACAAGCATCACATATATTAATACATTAGTATGTGATATAAGACAAAATTAACTCCTGTGAACAAAGGCATTCCACAACAAAGGCTATTAACTACTACCAGAGAGAGAATATTGAGTTAGGTGGATATTGTCTTCACACAGTGGATTCTCTCATATTCTGTAGCCAGAGAGTAGTTGCAGGAGTAAATAAGAAATATTTTATTAAGAACAGACATTGGTATGTAATGCTATTTTTCAGTATTCTCCCTTATGCAGTTGAATTACCTCATGGCATTCTGTTAATTTTTGGAACATTATGTTAAATAATATTTAACATAAACACAAACATTGGTGTTTTACAACCTTTTAGTTTTGCCAGTAGTAGATGAATTATGACTGGGTAAGTGTGACAAAATGGTAGTTAATGTCAAAATTTCAAATTGTGTGCGAGAATGGAGAGTTCTTGAGAATTTAAACACTGAAGGTACAGTGACCTTGAACACTTCCCTGAGCCTTGAAGTCTCCCTTTAAAAACCACTTCTCAGCTTCTATGTGTCCCTGTCCAGAGAGACAGGAGATTCATAAACTGCAGTAATTGAAACTAGTGTGAATTTCTTGAGTATGACTAATCATTACCATTTCTTACCAAAAAGAAAAAAAATCACTCTTCCAGCCAAGATTTTATTAATTTTAATATGGAAACATCCACACCTATCATGTCTCCCCTGAGGTCTTCCCAGACTGCTGCAGAAATGGAGCTTTGGCTAGAACTGAGGATGTGAATTCCTCTGGCTAATTGCTTTTTGGATAATCCACAAAACACCAGGGGTCAGATTCTTGGCTTGGTAAAGTGTATCTGGCTGGATGCCATGGCTCCCATTGTGGGGAATCCCAGGAGAAGAGTGGTACAAGGTTGTAACTCACATCAGATATGCATATTTTCTCAGCTGCTGTTGCACTTGGCATAATCTGTGCCTATTAGCAAATCTAAAGCACCACCATCTTGGGTATATTGCTCCAGAAAAACCACATAATCAAATGTGTGTAACCATAAAGTTGATTTTGTCCATGTCTGTGGCATGAATGGTATAAAACTGTCCAGCTGCATCTAGGATATTTGAGGAAAAGGAAAAACAGATCTTCAAGTCATCACTGACCTGCCTCTCGTCCTGCCTGTGTGATGCTGTCACATAAACTCTGTAGAGTAACAGGATATTTCCTTGAAGGTACAGGTAAATATCACTGAAAGGTATATCCTGCTGCCCTCAGTGCATCACACTCAACCTGAAACTATTTGTTCTGACAATCACCCCCTGATGGTGCTACATGGAGGAATTTCCCCCATGAGGGAGACTTTGACAAGGAAGGGAGACATATGTGGATTTCTCCATCCATGTAACCAGAAGGTAAATCTTACTCCTCAACAGAGCTTCACTCTCTGTGCATTTAGAGCTTGGTTGAGATGGGGATGCCATCCCCAAGAAAGGTCATATAATGTGGTTATGTGACTATTTCTTTTCACTACTGCCACAGAGGTGAGAGGTAGAAGCCAAGTGTTAATGAGCAGTTAAAGCTCTCCCAGGGCAGTTCTGCAGAGCCTCTGTGGGCTTTGCTCCTACTCAATGGGCCCAGGAGAGAAAGAATTAGGTAAATTAGATAGATATTAGTCAACAACCAAAAAACATAGACCCCTAACCGAAAGCATTTTTGACTCTTGGGGGAAATACATGTGTGGCTGGTATGGGGTTTGTGAGTGACAGAGCAGTGTGTCTTTACCCCAGCATGTCCTGCCCTCCCAAGCAGCCAGGCCAGCAGTCCCTAGTGCAGGAGGAACACCCAGCTGCCTTTGTGTGACCCTTCAGACAGCCCAGCCTCATTCTGGTGTGCTCTAGAGGGAGCCACATATGTCCTTGCTCTCCAGAATGGAGGTCACCAGCCTCTCAAGCTTTCCAGGAAAGAGGGAGTGGCCTTAAGTTACTGAGCGTGGACAACCTGGAAAACAGTGTGCAGGCAGCACTTGTGCTGCCTCTAGACACTCCACAGAAAGGATTAAGGGATGCTGAATTGGCTTTGATCTCCCTCCCAAACTGGTTTTGAAGAAATGGAAGGGCAGGCAAGTAACAGGCATGTTCTGATATGAAAAAAATGGCAATGACATTTCTGCATTTCAGTCTGTAGTAGGGGTTGGTTCATATTACAGTATTTGGATCTAGACTTGAAACAATTCACTGCTTGTGTCTGTCTGGGGACAGGGACTGTTTGTGAAGCTCACACCTTGAACTCGGTTTTGGCTGAGTACCCTGCGCATTTTATGTGTTTCTAAATCTGATAGAGAAAATGGAGGGGGAATTATCTCTGCATTAGAAAGTATATAAATAATGCATCCATTATCTGATGATTGGGGGAAAAAAAACCCTAGTCTCTTGAAAGGCAAAGTTGGGAAATAGCTCTCTTTTATTTCAAGAAATAAGAGTAATGAAATGTATAGCTATAAAACACACAGCAGTCCAAACCCTCTACATAAAAGCAACCTCTTGTATTTTATGCCTCCTTTTCTATATCAGGTCTTCATTTGCCTAATTACTTCTCAGAGGCTGGCAGAGATTTTCCCTGCAGCGCTGAGCTCTGCTGACTGCAGAGACCCTACCTGGCACGCTAAGTTAATGCGTCAGCATTCTAGGTAGAAATGAATGAGAAATCAATCAGGGCAACTGCAGTGGCAGCATATACAACACTAACCTAACCCAACTTTGTGCATGGTTTCAAACATTTCATTGTGTAATTTAGGCATCTTTTAAGATGGTAAATGGATCTGAAATAAAATGGATCTTTCTAGTCAGCCTAATAAATGTTTTGTCATCTTTACTACTTAGTTCAAGCAACCTTGCCACTCTGACAGTTAAGTTAAATTGCAGCCTTGATTGAAATACCAAATCCTACAAGAAGGTTGTTTTAATCTTGAAAGTCTATCACCAGCAAATTGCATCATGCAGTGGATATAGATACAGTGATACAGCTTTGATTGTTTTAATTGTATGTTCAGACCAGGTCTAGAGTAGGTCTGGAAAAGCAAAAGTACACCAGAACCTGTTTTGAAACGCAGATACTGCTCAGGTATGGTCTTGCAAGGAGTTTGTTTTAGAAATATTTGTCTGTGCACTCTCATTTTTTCGTGCTGTATTTCTGCACAGGCAGAGTTAAATATGGATTGCCAGTTTCATTTGATTAAAGTCCACAATAAAAAGTCTAACCTTCACACCCAAAAAATTAGCAGATGTTCTAACATTCTTAGCTGAGTGGGTTAAATATGTTACAAACCCTCATAAGATCACTGCTCTAACAAGTTGTGCAGTGCAACACTGTAAAGGTTTCCAAAAATTCACAAGCCTCCCCTTATGTGATGCCCTTACAGTGAAGAAGATTCTTTTGGCTTTAAAGATGAAGAATCTACTTTTTCTGGTGCTGATTTCTGTCTGCTGGGCTGAACCTCATCCTGACAAGTCCAGTCTGGAGCATGAACGAGTTGTTCACATTCAAGGTAAGGAAACACATGAGAAAATACCAGTATCTTCATGTTGTTGAGGGAGACAGAATAATATGCTTAATGATTCATAATTTATTATTTTTTTATGCTGCCACACTGTTTTTTAAGTATTATTATTGCTGATGACCAAACCTTTTCTTTTCTGTCACTGTTGCATTATTTTTACTCCTAAGGAAAGTAAAAAAAATGAAAATTGCACTGTTTAATAGCACTTAGTCAAAACCTTGCAAATATTAGTGAGTAAAGTACAGCATGATTTAAGACAAAGGCAAAAAGCATGCATCCTAAAGTAACAAGCAACTGCAGTGGGTTGAAATACTTAAGTTTATTGTGAAGTAGATTTGATTTTAAGAGATCTGCCATACATAGTTCTTCACAGTACAGAAATTTATTGCTATGTATTATTTTAAAAGGCTCAGCACATTTGAGATCATATTTTTACAATTTAAACCAGAAAAAAAAAGTAACTTACCCCAATAGAAATGTGCCTTTCCTCATACCTTTAATTCATACTAAATATTATCCTGGCCTCCTGCACAATCCTGTTTGGTTCATGTTTGAATCCCAGAGCTTATAGCTGTGGCAGGATTTGAGTCTGCAGCAAAATGCAGCTGTTTTTTAAAGTCCCAGCTTCAGTCACTGAGGGTCATCCTCTATAAGAAAAAATAGGGGGTTTATGCTGTTAGGACACGCAGAATGAACAGGATTTTCCTGCTTTCACTCCTGTGTTTCTCAGGGCTGGTTTAAATAAATTCTGCAAAATTAAGAAGCACAGAATTATTGTTCCCCCCACTCCCTCTCTCTTCAAAATTTGATTCTTTCTCTCAACAGCTGGCAAATTTTGTTATTTGAGTGTTTGTGGAAATATGAATTACCAAGGTCAAGCAGGTTACTGGGGAAGGCTGAGCATTTAAAAGTTCACAGGAGAGTCATAGAAGCTAAAGCTACCCTGCACTTATTAAAATAAGCGCTGGGATTGTCAAGGTCAAACAAGGAATAAAAAGGAGCTGCCTTCCCTCTGAGTAAACTCTCAGGATGAAGGTCAAATGAATGTGTTAGATCAAAATGAAGACATACAACTGTTGTGAGATGATGAACATTTGATCCCCAGGGCAAATTTCAAATTAGACATCAATCTCTAATAAACATACATTTTGCCTTTCCTTTGTATAATGCAGCTTCTCTTCTCTGAACTTTATCTCTTTTGGAGGGTTAACTTAGTGGACTAGTCAGCAGTTCAGTGTAATTCACAAGTCATACATTCGCTCATCAGCAACTCTTCAGCATGTGTGCAGTGCAAGTGCCAAATAGTTCAAAACTGACAGAAGTTTCAAGATGGACCTTTCTCCCAGTCCGTGGAAACTCACCTGTACCTCAGGAGTTTCTTCTTACAAGGAAAGCTGGGTAAAGCCTTAAATTTGGGCTCTACCATAAGCTTTGTACATCATCGAGTTCAGGCTCTGAAATACACAGACCACAAATCAGAGAGAAAAAAGCTGCTTGGGACTTGCCATTTTCACATGTAATTTTTATTATTCCTCTCTGCATTGTGGAATTCCATCAGGGTTGGGATTCCTCCCTCCCCAAAGCTGCATAAACACAATATTCTACACCTGGAAATGGGCTGGAGATCAGGGAACACTGTGGAACATATGTGTTGTAGCTTCATACAAAAGGTATTTTTTATCACATTAACAAGTCTGGCATCCCTCTCCTCATCTGAAATCCAAGAGATGTGTAGCTAGTCTCCTCCTGGATTGCATGCCTGGGAATACCTTGGAATTACAAAAGGTGTGGGTGAATGTTGTGTAGTTAATTCCTACATAGAAATGAAAGAGATTTCTGGAGGCAGTGAAGGAAACTCTCTTACATTCCCCATTCTTTACCTCATGTAAACTCCTACAGGCTAAGTTTAATTTCATAAAAAAGGTTGATTCAGATCTCCTGACTGCACCCGGCTTTTCTGGTATGAAAAATACTCTCCTAATTCTCCACTTTTATTGTATGGCCTTATGCTTCCCCTACTGTTGTTCTTTAGCTTCAAATAACACTTTGTCTTCTTTGATGTTCACTTTAAAATATTAATAATACCATATCCTCACAGCTATCATTTGAGTATACTTTTTCAAATTCTTCTCTAAGGGTATAACCTCCAGATTACAATTATAATTTGATATTGTAACCTGAAAATGTTAGCAGTTCATCTCTACACTGGTTCTTATTCAAATTCATATTCCTTGGGTGCACCCAGCCCGGATTTTATTCCAAATAAAATCTTTGGCTGCCTTTAGTATTTTTGTTTTCTGGATAACAATGCATTGTTCTTCAGACCTTGGATCAAATTTGCATTCTTCCCACCTGCACTGCAATGCTGGTTAGTAATCTCTTGTGATAGACAGTATTTAGCAGTCAATGTCCCTCACTGTCACTTGCAACTAACAAGTAGAAGCTTTATATCAACAAGTCTTCATACTGGGACTTAAAAATCTAGACTATACATTTCGTGTTAAATGTTATCATACTTTTTTCACCCTTCTTTCTTCAGACTTTCTAAATATCCACTCCCTTCCCTTCAGTGTTGTTTAATATGCTATGTGAAAATTTAATTAATTCAATAGTCACGGTTATTTTTTAAGGTAAAATTACTGGAAATATTAAAGACTCAGATATTATACAGGAGACAGTCCACTGGCCTTTTTCATGTATTGTCCATTATCACCCTGAGCTGCAGGCAATTGATATATCACATTTCCTTGGACTTATACATTTATTTTTAGTATATAGCTGATATCAAACTAGTCTGACACCCCTTGGTAAGTATCTACTGCATTTTATCCCTCTTTCTAGTACTTTGTATCTGTTCTTCAACAATTTCCCTTCAAAGATTGTTCTAAGGCCCTGTATGCTGTTAAGGTCAGACTAATCAGATTGTTAATAGTTGAATTACTTTTCTTACATGTATTTGTTATTTTACTGCCATGTAGAAATATATGGTACTGTCTTAAAGTGACAGATGAGGTCATACCTCTACCACCAGGTCTACTTACCCCAATTTGCTGTCCCTCCATTACTGTTAAAAACTCCTCCCATCTCTCTCAAACTTAGCATTTGTGAGTCAGAATGAACTATTTCATAGACTGTATTGTTTTACCTCCCAACTTTTCACAATATTCCTTTCAGCTCATTTCCTCTGGCCCAATTGCTTTGTTTCTATCTTCTTCTTCTTTGGTTTTATTCCAATACTGAGAACAAAGTTTATAAAAATATCTTAAGGTGCATTTTATCTCACCTGTGACTTTATTTTCCTTGCTGAAGCCAGTGGTGGATTTCACAGTTTTGGTCAAGCTGCTCTGTTATCCCAGGCTGCCTGACCATATCCCCTTCTTCTGGTAGTTTGTCTGCATAAAAAAATCATTCTAGTTTCACTTTTTTTAGATAAAAAAGTGAGAGTACTGAATTTAAAGAAGATGTGTTGTCCTCCTCACCCCAGAAAAACTCTGTGTGCCTTAGGGGGATACCAGTTCCACTCTTTAGAAAAAGTCATAATTATAAATGAAGAAATCGTTCGGTGAATGAAAAAATGGGATTAAAGTATCCCCTAGCTACTTAAATGCCCACAACAAGAAAACACTGCTCTAAGCATATCAGTGCGATCAGAGACTCATATTTTCTTTTGAAGACAAAATTTTTGAAGGACTCTGTGACCCTTGAGAGAGGACAACTCTTCCCAGTGCTCACTTTCTGTATCTCCCTAAACTATTCGTGGTGCCACTTGCTGACCAATTACACAAAGAGGCAGAATACCCTTCACAGATAAGAGCATTCCTTCTGTGTGTAGCTGCTCTGCAACATAAGCAAAGTTGACCAAGACATTGCACTAATTGCTAAGTTAATTACCTGAGGCGAGGCAGAGCCTAGAAATTACTCCAGTTTTTTCAGGTTTTAGAAATACAAGAAGAAAGGGCGGCGATGAGAACACAAAGTTTGGTTTGAGAAGGATCAATATTTAAAATTTTAGCTTTTCTCTGGATATGAGACATTTGTATTATGCAGCATTTCTTTACCTTTGAGATAGAAGAATGCATCCCTTTGCCTATCAAGACCTCTGCATACACCAAAAAAATGTGCCCACGTGGAATGGATGGAAAACTTTCTAATACCACCCTATTGAAACAAACAATCCGAAAACACACACACACACACAAACAAAAAGGTAAATTAATTAATGAATAAAAAAGGAAAAATAATTGATCAACTTATTCTGCATTATAATGAGCCCACTTCCCTTTATACAAAACAGGCCAGCACCAACAGAGAGAAAGAAGCTTCACAGACTTTCTAGACTAGCCAAAAAAAAAAACCATGGTAAGAGATTAAATGCACTATTAAAATGACCTCTACACTAATTCTTGTCTTCCCAAGTTTTATGCTTTTCCACTTTCCTTTAGGCTTCCTTCCTTTGGCCCAGATTTCTGCATTTTTCCTTTTTTCAATGATTTTGTCTGTCACTTCTTTCCATTTTCTTGCCTTTATCTTTTCCACTTAAAATTTCTTCATAGTTTTGTTGTCATTCAGGACAGTTTAGGTAACGCCATGATCCATTGTGCTTTCTCTTCTTGTAACTGAGCTGCTCCTTTGACATCCACCTATCATGTTTTGCTCTACAGATTGTGGTCTGTTGCACCAGCAGGTGATAGAAATGACAGCAAAGAGCAGCCTCACCTCCTATTTTCATAGCACTTTTATTAAAGGCATTCAGGATTGCATGTTCAGGATCAGACCTTAAGCAATAGGTGTCAGGATATTTGGGTTGTAAAATATTATTACAGCAGCAAAACTATTTACATGAAGCATAAATTTAAATTATTAATTTGCCTTTACTTGTTTCATCAGTCTAATTCCATATTTTATATATAAATATATATATATATATATAATTTAAAGTTAATTAAAGAACTGGAAAACCTCCTCAGTGTTTATGCTTAATATTTTGG